AATGCTTTAGTAGTGACAGAGGGAATATGCCTCATCCTACTGTTAAATATCTGTAAAGCACTAATTCAGTGGGTCTCAAACTTTTGTACTGGTGATCCCTTTCACATCGCAAGCCTCTGAGTGTGACACCCCCCCCCGTATAAATTAAACACGCTATTAAATATATTTAACACCATTATAAATGTTGGAGGCAAGTGGGGTTTGGGGTGGAGGTTGACAGCTCATGACCCCCCATGTAATGACTTTGTGACCCCCTCGGGGTCCTGACCCCCCAGTTTGAGAACCCTTGCACTAATTATTATTAGTATAGCTGTTGCTGCTCTACAAAAGCTTGAGTCGTGGGATTCAAGATGCGGGGCTGTAGATGTTTAGGCTCAGACTGGAGCCCACGCACTGGGACCCCACAAGGGGGAAGCGTCCCAGAACCCAAGCTCCAGTGCAAGCACCACAAGCCTTAGTCAGATGACCCAGGCCAATCACAGGTCTTTTATTCTAGTGTCAACACACCCTCAGAGACTGAGCTCCAGCCTAAGCTCCAACCCAAGCTAGCATCGCAGAGTGAGCCAAAGTTAGAGTAGACTGAAGCCCTGCAGGTGTATCTACCCGGCAATCAAACATCAATGGCTGGCCCATGTCAGCTGACTTGGGCTCATGGGGCTAGAGCTGTGGGGCTATAAAAAAATGCAGTGTAGTCATTTGGGAGCAGACTGGAGCCTGGGCTCCAGGACCTGATGAGTCTTTTTTGCAATATAGACATGAGTGACTCAGAAGCACAAGTCTGTAACCCACACACCTTCTGGGTGTGGTGTTCTATCCCATCTTGTAGCACCAAGACCACTTAAAGAGAAAGATAAAAGGAGTCTGCTCTATAGCCTTAGCTAACACCCAGGCCCAGTTGCCTTTTAGCTCACAGAATATCAGGGTTGGAAGGGACCTCAGGAGGTCATCTAGTCTAACCCCCTGCTCAAAGCAGGACCAATCCCCAATTTTTGCCCCAAATGGCCCCCTCAAGGATTGAACTCACAACCCTGGGTTTAGCAGGCCAATGCTCAAACCACTGAGCTATCCCTCCTCCCCCTGCTGTTGTAGAGGCTTATGCACTCAGCGCCAGAGGTCCCCGATTTGGTTGCATATCTACCCTGCAAACAAACATCAATGGCTGGCCCATGTCAGCTGACTTGGGCTCACTGGGCTACAGCTGTGGGGTTATAAAAAATGCAGTGTAGACTTTTGGGCTACTTTTGGTGAATCTTTTTTTGCAGTGTAGACATAGAATATCAGGGTTGGAAGGGACCTCAGGAGGTCATCTAGTCCAACCCCCTGCTCAAAGCAGGACCAATCCCCAATTTTTGCCCCAGTTCCCTAAATGGCCCCCTCAAGGATTGAACTCACAACCCTGGGTTTAAAAGGGGTCTGCTCTATAGCCTTAGCTAACACCCAGGCCCAGTTGCCTTTTTCTGTCCATCTTACCATTGTTTCCTGTTTCCCCTTGGGAGGACTTTGAGTGTCATTACTGATTTTATTTTATTAACATCTATGGAACCCCTGGTGATATTAAGTGGTGTGTAGAAGCTATGGGGTGACCCTGTGCACTGGTATAACTCAAACAGTAATCCCCCACCACCACACATGTAAATGGAATGGGGATGACAAGGACCAGGTAAGCATGTTTTATTAAAAAGAAACCAAGAATTAAAATAATTATCTCATTAAGTTAAGTGATATACATGAGTGACTCAGAAGCACAAGTCCCCCTGTTGATTTTTTTTGCGGGAACTTGTGCTCCTTAAATTAGGTAGGCCTGATCGACACACAGGTTTTGTACACATTTAACTATTCCAGTTAAGAGCAGGGGTTTTGTTTCGCCTGAAACCAAACTAGTTAAAAATCAGTACAACCCCGACAGCGGACACGGCTGGATTGGTAGAAAAAGGGTGCCTGATACCAGCAGACCATATTCCCCGCAAGGCAGGCGCACAGGCGACCCGGGTCTAAGGGGCCGGGCCGCCCCCTGGGCCAGCAGGTGACGCGGTACAGGTCGCGCGCCCCGCTGAGCCCTGGGGCGGTTCTGAAAGGGCCACCCGACATGGGTTGGTTTGGAAGCTTCCCAAGGCGAGCGGCTGCCAGGGCCCACAATTGGCCCTTACACGGCGCGGACCGGCCGCCCGGCCCCTGCGGCCTCGGTCCCTGTTTATGTAACACGCCGCTCAGCAGCTCGTTGCCCAACCACCCGCTCCCCAGGCTGGTGGCCGCAGTGGACGCGGACTGTCCCGCTCCCGCGCCGAGGAGCCGCGGCGATCTGCCGTCAGTACCGCGCCTGGCCGGGTGGCAGCGAGCGCCGGGGCCTCACCGCCCGCCTCTAACTGCCCCCGAGGCAGCCTGAGGGGAATTTACCTCAGCCAAGCCGACCAGGGGCTGTGCCCGGGGGAGGCAGCCCCGCCCCCCCCCGCGTGGGACCCCTGCCCTCGGCGGGCTGCAAACCCCCTGCGAGGCGGGAAGAGAAGGACTCACCATCGCTGCGCCGGGTCCCCAGGCTCCGTCACCCAGCAGCGAGTCGGGGCACAGGGCCGCCCCGTCGACCTGGAAGTGAATCCGCCTCAGCCGGCGAGGGGTGGCCGGGCCCGGTTCCCGCCTCCCTTAAAGGGGCCGCGTTAGCCGTCGGGGCGCAGCCGCCCAGGGGGCCCGCTGGCGTCTTTGGAAAATCAGCCCCATTAAACAAAAATCTCGTCAAGCTGGCCAATAATAATAGCGTTGTGGAGTGCACTGAGCTCCTTTTTCTGTCCATCTTACCATTGTTTCCTGTTTCCCCTGGGGAGGACTTTGAGTGTCATTACTGATTTTATTTTATTAACATCTATGGAACCCCTGGTGATATTAAGTGGTGTGTAGAAGCTATGGGGTGACCCTGTGCACTGGTATAACTCAAACAGTAATCCCCCACAACCACACATGTAAATGGAATGGGGATGACAAGGACCAGGTAAGCATGTTTTATTAAAAAGAAACCAAGAATTAAAATAATCAATTATCTCGTTAAGTGATATACAAAATTCTCAGTTCTGCATTGCTGATGGTAGAACTGGTCACTGATCAAGTTCAGGAACAGGTATTTGTGCAGAGGCTCCAGCACAAAGTAATTTCAAGTCTCTAGTGTAAAAGGCCTCATCCTACTTCCACTGAAGTCAATGAGGGCTTTGCAATTGACTTTAAAGGGAGCAGATTTGGACCATAGTTGTAGGTGGTAGTGAACACTTCTCTCCCATGGACGTACACTACAATTTCTTGTCAGCACAGAGTACACCAGTCTCAGTTATTTCAGTTTACACAATGTAAAGTGTAACAATACCACCCTAAGCAGCTAAAATGAAAACATAAAGAGCTTGAATTTAAGCTTCTTGACTACTCCAGGTACAGCCACATGAACAGTATTTATTCCTAAACCAGAAAAACAAATAATAAATCAGAAGACCCAAATTTCTAAATTAATTTATACTTCCTTTCATTAGAGAATGTCAAATTTACAATTGGCCTCCACAATGCAGTCCTTATGCAGGCAAAATCCTAACTGAAGCCAATAGAATTTTTGCTTATGTAGAGACTATAAAAAAGGACCATTAAATTGTTAGTTATCACACCACCAGTGTAAAGATGGTAAATAAGTATTAACAGATAAGTATTTGAAAGGACGACATTGAGACATGGAAGTTGTCTGGAGTGCCCAGGATCATATGGTGAAGCCAGGAATAGAACCAAGAATTTTGACTCCCAATTTCCTGATAAAAGTCATGGTATTCCATAGTAAGTCATGCTATTTATTCCCCTAAACTATCTAAGCTAATTTCTGTTTTAATTTATTTATTAAATTAGATTTTATCTATTTTTAGTCTATAGATTTTAAGTCTATTTTTGTTACTTATGCAACTACTCTGTACAAATTCCTTTCTCTTGTAATAAATAATAAAGTAACTAATAATAAACTTGTAACACTTTCTCCTGTTTTTCAGGATCAAGAGCTCCATGAATCCTTCCACTTTAGACCTCTAGTCTTTTCTCTTCTATGAAGAAGGGGGAGGGGAGAACCTGTCCTTTTCCATAGGAAGCTGCAAAAGATCAGTGAGCCTCACATGGCTTTCCTACCTTCATAATCATTCTATTGCTTCACTGCATCTCCGTTCCTCAGTGTTAGCCAATCAGTTTCATGATTTTCAGATTAAGGCGGGGGTACATAGCTGCCAAGTATTTTGCAGCTCCAGGTGCAAAATTAAATTCAAATAATTTAATGATCCAGTTTGTGTATTCAAAACTAATCTACTTGTTACCATAAACTCCAACTTTATAAAAAAAATCTGGATTTAGAGCTTATGCAGCTCTAGTGAATGAAGCCCTCTGTTTATCTACAAAAAGAAAAGGAGTACTTGTGGCACCTAAGAAACTAACAAACTTATTTGAGCATAAGCTTTCGTGAGCTACAGCTCACTTCATCGGATGCTGCAGCTCACAAAAGCTTATGCTCAAATAAATTTGTTAGTCTCTAAGGTGCTACAAGTACTCCTTTTCTTTTTTGCGAATACAGACTAACACGGATGCTACTCTGAAACCTGTTTATCTACAGAGCAGCAAGGCAAGGTTTCCGCACATACTGAAATATCAGCATGCCTCAATTTTGATTGGGGGCACGTTTTTGCTAGGGATAACAGGCAATTCAGTTCTTGTGAGCCATAAAGTTCTTGGCCTCTCTGCTGAGTCTGCCAGCTAGTGCAAATTGTGCTAGAAGACAGAGATCCACCAAGCTCATCTCATTGCATTGGCCACCAAACATCCATTAGATGAAAACAACTGCTAATTCCTACCAAATTGTGCTAGATTCAGACTGGTGTCCTGCATGTAAAGAGCTCTTAAGCTCATTAGATATCCTGAGGCATCCAGTCCTCTAATACTAATGTTACACCTCAAGAGAGAAGAGTTTCTGGAGAGAAAAAATTATGAAATTACATTCTGACCTGTTTAGAGCTTACAAAGGCAGAGTCTTCCACTCTATACAGGCATGCAACATCTCCCACAATCTATTCTCAGTCTTTTTCAAACAAACCCTGTGATACATGCTCCACCCTTTTCTTAACAGGACAGATGTCAGTAACTAAAATACAGATACAAAAATAAAACAAATATTAACACAGCATCCAAATTAATCTCTGTATCATTTAAACAAAAAAATTCTGTTATAGTTAAGGTTGCTTACAAAGACATTTAATTCTTTAAATGTTAAGGTTTTTCACATCAATGTAATTAGTCATTTGAAAAAAGAATTCTAAGGAATTAAGTAATGGATATTATCACATTTACCTATTTAGTAGAGAATGTACTTAATTTCTCAAGTAGTATGCTAAAATTGTCCTTCGGTGCCTTAACTGTGACCACGTATTTATTGAAATGCAAAACAAATTTTAATCAATATGTAACAACCTCAACCTTAACCAATGTGTTTATGTAACATTACAGATAATGGACAAATACTATGTGATCATGTAATTAAAGACTTATCATAATGCTAAAATAATCATAACTGTTAACATACAACCTATTTTTTTCATATGTAGTACAAGGGTTGAGTTTTATCTATACAGAAAGTTTGACGAATTTGCATTTTTTAATGTTACTGAGATCATTGGGGGGGGGGGGGGAGAGCCAGATAATTTGCCAAACAATTTTAAAAAGACCTATTTTAAAATTGATTTAATCTCAAATTATTTAGTTACTTGTAATTTTTCAGGAAATTCAGTTTGTACTCAGAGTAAAGTGCTGAAATATTGGGGAGGATGTGTCATATTCTGCATACGAGACATAGGAACATTCCCTGCTTTAAGTGCAAAATTTAACCATACCTAGAGACCGACAGCTGATGCCTCCATAAGTTTGTGTCTCTTTCAGGCATGTCCTTTTTGTATGCGTGTGTTACTGAATTTTATAACTGATATTTTAACAAAAAAATTACTTCATTAATTTTTGTTGTTGTTGTTCCTCAGTCCTCTTTTTCTAGATCCCACACTAGCAGGGCATGATTCTGGGACACATTACTTTGGATTTTTCAAGATCAATTCCAACTGTCTGCAGACCCTTCCCAATTCATTATTATTTTCTCACGCACTCCCTGTATTTCCAATTTGTCAGTCAATGCAGCCCCTGGGCCCCCAACGATTTAGGATTCGCAGTTGTTCAGATGGCATTAAAGATTTGTCTATACTTGGAAAATGAACAGTTGCTGACAGTAGTTATCAACACCCCCTTCTCCCCTTAAAATGGTGTTGAACACTATGTAGCTGTTAGTCCAGATAGACAAAAAAAAAGTGTTGCCAACTCACCATTTTATCACAAGTCATGACATTTGATGTTTTTCTTAAAGCCCCAGCTCCTGGAATCACATAATTACACAACATTCTCAGCTTTAATTTTTTTTAAACTAAGTTTCTAGCCCTTATAGCTGTAAAGAACAACTTGAAAACATGATCTCTGTAGGCTCAAAACCCAGAAGGCAAAAAAACCAAAATCCAAATTTATTATTTTTTAAATCTCATAATTTGTAAACCAATCTCTTTTTATTGGGGAGGGGAGGCAGGCTGACTCACCAGTGAACATTTGGGTTTGGCAATGCCCAAAACATTGTCAATATCAGTATGGGAAGTGACCTGGAGCCATGGTGCAACAGGCGTCTCTCATCCTTTTGTAACAGTGTTGTAAAGCCATGTTGGTCCCAGGATATTAGAGAGACAAGGTAGGTGAGGTAATATATTTTATTGGACCAACCTCTGTTGTTACAAGGGACAAGTTTTCAAGCTACACAGACCTCTTCTTTAGGTCAGGTAAACAGTTTGTTTCAGCTACTAGTAGTTAGGCCATTTTCAAAGCTGGTTGAAGAGAAAGTGAGCTCATTCTCAACAAAGTAAGGGCTTAACTGCACCAGGAAAGTGACCTATTGCTCAAAATGGTTGCCAGCAACACGAGATGTTTGGGTCATTTTCCTTGTGCAGCTGGCCCCTTATTTTGTTGAGACTGTCATGTTGAAGCAGCTCAGAGCAAGCACAGTATCTCAAAAATAGATTTTACCCAAAGAAACAGGAGAAGTAGAAAGAGAAAGAAGCAGGAGAATAGAAAGTAAAACAAGCCCTTTTGCTTTTCAATGGAAATATTCCCCATTTTCATATAAATATACCTCAAAAACTAGTTAACATTTGTAAAGTGCCTGGGTAACTTTGGGTGCAAAATATTATTGTGCTGTAAGTATATTCGGAGGTGTAATTCAGTAAGATCAATTCAGTGACTCTTGGGCAAAGAGCACCAGAAGGCATAACCTACTGAGCCAACTTACTGGATGCATCTAAAGCAATAAAATGATCCAAGGCTGGTTTCAGAAGGGGTGGAATGGGAAAAAAAGGTTTAGAGAAAAAGTGAAAGTGATCAGACAAAAGGAGAGCGAAAGAGAATAGCTTAGAAAGCCCCGCTGCTAGAGCCCCGTGTCCCTGGCTTGCCCTCCTGCCCTGGGGCCTGGCCGGGGGGAGGGGGGGGGTAGCCTGCAAGGGATACCATCCAGGAGCGGCTGGTCCAACCACAGCTTCTACGTTCCTCGCCCGCCCGCCCGCTCCGCTTCTGCAAATGGGCTGACGCCGCGCACCGATTCTTCGACGCTCTGCTCCGCCCACTGGCCGTGTGCGGTACCTATTCCCTTCCGGGTGCGGGCGGGCCCTGCAGGAGGGGACAGGCGCTTCCGCTGGCGGCCGAGTCACCTTGCAGCGGGGCCCCGGGTGCGGTTCTCCCGGCGCCCCTCCCGTGGAAGGGCGATGGCCGGGCTGGTCAACCTGGAGGACGAGGAGGAGGTGAAGGGCTACCTGGAGAACCTGGGCATCGAGTACAGCTACCAGTGCTACAAGGAGGGCGATCCGGACGGTAACTGGACAACGCGGCGCAGCGCCCGGCTGCAGGCTGCACCTGGCCCCCGGGCAGCGCGCCTGGCCCCGGGTGCGGGCGGCGCGCCTGGTCCCCGGCCTCTCCTAGCCGCTGCCTTCATGCACGAGTGGCGAGATGCTTCCAAGGTCACTCGGCCCCATCGCTCTGGGAAGAGCCTGGAGCTCGGGGGCCTGGTGCTGTCTTTTAAGCCAGCCCTACTTGCAGAAAGGGAGCTGCGAGGTTTCTCTTGCAAAGCAGCGCTGCCAGGTCTAGGGTGTTTGGTGTTAGTCCGCGCCTGCAGCGTAGGCCCGGGGTGCAGCCCTGCACAGGCGAAACTGGGGTGGGGGGGGAAGAATTCAGAGCTGACGTTGAAGCTTCCAGTGGGTTTGTAGTATAGAAAGATGAGACTAAAAATGGATAAGCAAGCTATATTAGAAAGACCCATCGTCTTCCCTTCTTGTGTTGTGGTGAAACACCCAAATGGCCTAGCCTGAGCCTAGTTTGTAAACCGTTTAATCCCTAAAAGAAAAGGAGTACTTGTGGCACCTTAGAGACTAACCAATTTATTTGAGCATGAGCTTTCGTGAGCTACAGCTCACTTCATCAGATGTTGATGAAGTGAGCTGTAGCTCACAAAAGCTCATGCTCAAATAAATTGGTTAGTCTCTAAGGTGCCACAAGTACTCCTTTTCTTTTTTGCGAATACAGACTAACACGGCTGTTCCTCTGAAACCCGTTTAATCCCTGTCTTCCTCGCAGGTTGCCATCGATTGGCTGATTATTTGGAGGGGGTGAAGAAGGACTTCGAAGCAGCTGCCAAGGTGCTAAAAGAAAACTGTGAAAAGAATCAGAACAGTGAGAGCTGCTATAAACTTGGAGCTTATTATGCAACTGGGAAAGGTGAGAAATAGCTATTGGTCCTGTCCTGCCTTCTGCCTGTTGGAAGAAAGGGTAGTGTTGAGCATGAGCAGTGGGTGAACCCCTGGCTTGGGGAGGCTAGCCCCCCAGGCCTGCCCCTTTTGCACCCATTGGAGCCCAGCCCCCACTGGTGTTGAGGCTGTTCTTGTGAGCTAGTTCTCTTCTTGTGACAAGGTGCTTCAGGATTTCTAGCTAACATTTTATTAGGTGTTAACCTTTCAATGCTAGGAGGCACAGATTTCTTGTCATTCTCATTGCTGTTCATGTTTTTGGTGGCCTGTCTAGATATGTCTACACCGCAAAGTAAGCTGAAGGTTAGTAGAACTCAGGTTAGGAGACCCTGGGTTTGTTAACCTCAGGCTTGAATGTCAACACTTGTCTGTAACCCTCATGTTTGGAATTGTTGAACCCTGGGTCCCAACCTGGGGCTCTAGCATCTGCACTGAATTGTGTAGGCCTGAGACTAGCGACCGATATTCCAGACTTCCTAGTATTCCCCCCAAAAAATATGGCTGCTGTAGCCCTTTGTTCATAGTGCAGTGTGGGAAAACTTGGCTGTCCAGAGAACAAAGAAAATCTGCCTGTGACATTGTGGGATGCTTTTGCCAGACTCCCAGATCATGAGCACAGTGGGGCTGCATCTACACTGCAAAGCAATAGAACTTGAACTCTGGGTTCTGTCTTGACTCAAGCTCAAGGTATGTCTACACAGCAAAGAAAAACCTGTGGCTAGCTTGTGCCAGCCAACTCAGGGATAGGTGCTGGACCTAGGGGTGCTGCTGCAACCCCTGGGTATGCTGGAAACCACTTCAATACTGGGCTTACAGTTTTGCAAAAAGAAAAGGAGTACTTGTGGCACCTTAGACTAACCAATTTATTTGAGCATAAGCTTTTGTGAGCTACAGCTCACTTCATCGGAGCTGTAGCTCACAAAAGCTTATGCTCAAATAAATTGGTTAGTCTCTAAAGTGCCACAAGTACTCCTTTTCTTTTTGTGAATACAGACTAACACGGCTGCTACTCTGAAACCAGTTTACAGTTTGTTTCAATGGCTCACATCTCCAGTTATCACTGCAGGGGAAATCTTGTATTAGGAATTCTAAGAAAGAAAACATTTTTCCTGTAGATCAAGTTTTGGTTACTCTTCCAAATAACCAGATAGTCTCTTTGAGAGTTGTATACATTTCCTTTGTGTATATTATTTGGAGATATGCTTGAAACTCATTTTGTTGAGAAATTAAGCGTCCTATGCTGCTGTAGTTGACTTGAGTAGAGCGGGATGAGGCCTTAAGGAATAGTTGGAATTATTTATGCTAATACCAATTGGCTACAAAACAGGAGGAGTTGGAGGATTTAAATTTTTATACATAAAAATATTAGTTTGCTGAAGAGGGGTGTCTTCCATTTTATTTTTATATATATTTTTTATCTATTATAGTCAACCATGGTCGTATTTTCTGCCTTGTATCAAATGCTTAGGCTAAGTCTTCCTTTTACCTGAAACCCATTTTGTTTAAATTATGTTGTCTTTAGATAAACCTGGTTTGGCTATATATGGAAAGAATAAATTTGGTTACATTTCTCCTTCATTTAGTGTAGATAGTTATACTGACAAAAAATGCTTTGGCTGGTATACCTCATTTCTTTCAGGGAAAGAGTATAAACTATCACAACAGAGGCCTTTTGCTGGAAAAAGCTGCATCTACACTAGGAGGGTTTGCTGGTATAGCTATACTGGCAAATAGTGTTTAATGTAGACTAGGTCTTGACTCTCTGAAGAGTAGTCCACATTTACAACTCTCTTTGTATTGAGTTATATTCTTCCAAAATAGTATTCAAAAATTTGTGAAAGAAAATGTTCTTCTCACTACCTCACAATTATAGTATGTTCTTCACACAAACTAGTATTTGATTGTGTTTTTGGGGGGGCTGCAGGTGGACTCACCCAAGATTTGAAAGCTGCCTACAACTGTTTTCTGAAGTCTTGTGAGAAAGGTGGGAAGAAATCAATAAATGCTTGCCACAACGTTGGACTTTTAGCTCACGATGGGCAAGTAAATGACGACAAACCTGACCCAGTCCTTGCCAGGGACTACTACAGTAAAGCATGTGATGGCAGTTTTGCTCCTAGTTGCTTCAATCTTAGTGCGATATATCTTCAAGGAGCACCTGGGATACCAAAGGACATGAACCTAGCTTTGAAGTACTCTTTGAAAGCATGTGACATGGGTCATGTGTGGGCATGTGCCAATGCCAGTCGAATGTACAAACTAGGAGATGGAATTGATAAGAATGATGCCAAGGCAGAGGCTCTGAAAAACAGGGCAAGAGACCTACATAAAGAACAGCAGGAAGCTTCTAGAGCCTTAACATTTGGGGAGTAAACCCACTTAAATCATTCAGACTTCTAGGACAGCACTTTTAAATGGTGCATAAACTTTAGCTGCAAACAAAAAACCCATACCTGTTGCACTCACAAAAGAGGCATCTGTGTGTGTTTGCATGTGCAAATTTTTGGATGTGCAACTGATGATTGTACAATTCTGGTGTGCCATTATCTGAAAACTTGGCCCCTTAGAACAGTTGTTCAGGCGAACAAACATCTAGGGCCAAATTTTCAAAGGCCCAGAGGACCCAGCTTTTAAAGTTGAAGGCACAGTTTTATGTGCTGACTTGTGGCTGCAATCTTCCACATCCACACAAAATTGTATGTGCATAATTACTCAAACTTGAGTATGCAAAACTGTCTAATTTTAGAGACTACTTTGGATAATATTACTGGGACCCTAAGGGATGCTATATAGAAGAATGTATATACTCTTGAGCACTCCTTTCTAAAGACAAGCACTCTCAAGTTTAGGTTTTCAGTGTATCACAGGCCATGCTCCTTCTATTGATGCTGAAATACACTGATCACCGACGGTGGTATTTATTTAGTCTTCTAAATGTAGTTTCTTTAGCTGCACTTCTCTGTTTACCAAGGTTACAAAAGGGATATAACTTAGCTGACATGGTGATGAGTGAAGTTTTAAAACTCAGATGCACATATATAAATCTTGATTTCTTGAAAGTCCAGTAAATCTTATCTAGATACTTCTGAATGTCATTAAGTATTCTTTGTGTAAATTGTTTTTAGCCTATTTCAGATGGGTTCACTATTTTATTGAACAATTCAATTCTTGGACATAATTTGACTGATTTTAAACATGAATGTGTGTGTGCGTATGCGTGTGCATGAGCCCAAATCAAGAAATCCTTACACAGGCTAAACTTGAATATTAGTCATTGGGCATTTTTGACCGAGCAAAGACTTCAGAATGTGATTTTTTTATCATTAAAAACGAACCTACAGTAAACCATGGTGGAATGTTTCTGTATGTTACCACTAAGGGGCGCTTGTGTTCAAAAAGCCACACAATGCTTTCTTCATTTTAATTTAAACGAGGCATCGGTATTATAGTGCCTTTTTGTATGGCGGAGCTACATTTCATTTTTATTTCCCTTAAGTGGTACCAATTTCAAATCAGATCTGTCCCCCATAAAATGTAGAGTTTATTGTATAGTAATTTCTGCACTGACGCTATCTTAAATTACCTGTCTTGATATGTTCCCCATCCTGTATTTTTGAATGTCCATGTGTTCCATAAATGCTATAGGTTAACTAAGGATTTGATCTTGTGGTCCTTATGCACTCAGCTCCCTTGTTCACTTGATTTGGTTGCGGGACCTGGCTGAAGAAGGAATGCAGGAGCGAATCCTCACTGTCATT